TGTTGATGCCTCATTCTAAAGCAGATACTAAAATGGATCATAAAGATAAATTGTTTGTGATTAATGAGGTTTGTGGAATGAAAAACTACAATGTATCTATTTTGAAGCTAATAAGAAACAAGATCTCTATATGTGGCTTTCAAATTCATCTCGTGGACCATCTGCTAAATTCCTAGCTTAAAATATCCATACCCTCGCTGAACTAAAGGTGACTGGAAACTGTTTGAAAGGTCCTCGGCCCCTTTTGTCTTTTGCCACTGCTTTTGATGAATTACTACAATATGCTTTGTTAAAAGAGCTCTTAATTCAGATCTGTAGTACACCATGCTACCATCCCAAAAGCCAACCATTTGTGGACCACGTGTTTACTTTCACTATTTGGATAATAGGATGTGGTTTCAGAACTTTCAGATCGTAAAAGAAGATGCTGCCCTTGTAGAAATAGGACCTCATTTCGTCTTAAATCTCATAAAGATTTTCCAGGGAAGTTTTGGAGGACCAATTTTATAGAAAATCCTCACTACCAGTCACCAAACATGCATTGGTGTGTCATAAGATCCATCACAGCTGCAAAATACAAGGAGACACAGCAAGTTAAAGAGGCACAAGAACTGAGAAAGAAAGAACCAAAGACTATTCTTTCACATGATGTCACTGCCGATGTTTTTGTTACACCAGATGAGGAAAAACCTATAGAAATACAGTGGGTAAAAACAGAGCCAAAAGTTGATTTGAAAGAAAGAAAAAGGTTTACAAAAGACAAAGAAAAATGAAACAGAAGATGAACAGTGGAAATGTAAAATGAACCACTGGATAACTAATTTTTTAGTTATTTTGTATTTATTTTGTATTCAATATATAAATACTTTTATTATTCAGGACTATCTTAAATCTAATTAGTGTAGCATTTAAAAAACTTAAAATCTTGTGGCTTCAGTAGTATCTGTTTTTCTAAATAAAATATTTCTAGAATTCAAAACAAAGTCATTTTTATTTATTTATTTTTTATTAAAATATATTTTATTGATTTTTCACAGAGAGGAAGAGAGAGGGATAGAGAGTTAGAAATGTCGATGGGAGAGAATCATCGACCAGCTGCCTCTTGCACACCCCCTACTGGGGATGTGCCCGCAACCAACGTACATGCCCTTGATCGGAATCGAACCCAGGACCTTTCAGTCCACAGGCGGACGCTCTATCCACTGAGCCAAACCGGTGCCAGCAAAACAGCCATTTTTATTGCTAATGGTTTTCAAAGACTGGAGATTGTTTTACTTGTTAAGTTGGATAAGATTTATTAAATTAGCTTATTATAAGATAAGAGCTCATCTTAAGGTAAATTCCAACCTGGAAGCAAGAATGACTTAGAATAGATATCTTTTCCCAGTCCATTCCAGTGGAAACCTTAGCCTAATTCCACCTCTGGAAGGAAAAAAAAGGTCAGGGATGCATGAGAAAGGAAAGCTCATAGTGACTCACTACAGTTTTTGGAATGAGGATTATGCTTCCACTCCCACAAGGCTGATGCCGAGAACTTCCACTTTGGAAGATCAGGCAGATCTTGACACGAAAGCCTGTTGAAGTAGTGACGCACCCTAAGAAAGAAGCTGAGTTCACTGCGAGCTTCTAGACTGCACAGTTAAAAATGCAAGACAGCAATACACTGTGCCCAGTACACTCAAAGTGCACATACATTTTGGTGAGCAATTTTAATTTTAGGACTATGCTTAGAAGTAATTAAGCATATATCCAAAGGTTGAACTACTAGGCAGATCATCCAAACTAGGTTCATCATACAGAAATAATAAGAGCAACCTAAATATCCAACTATAAAAGTTCAGACAAATACATCCATATACAGAATGGGGCAATAGATTTTTAATTGTTTATATGGAAAATAATACAAAAATTAATAAATACCAATACAATTGTTTCATGTATTCACAACTGTTAACCTACTTTTGCCCTACCCTCTATTATATACCATTTATATTTAAAGTAATAGTATAGACAAATATTGATTAATGTGATAAGATGTCTAAAAGTTATTAAGGACAAACACAGGTAACTAACCAATATGTACTCAATGATTCAGTTTTTGTAAAGTAAATGTGTGAATGTAAGTGTGGTTTTAAAAGCTCTTAAAGGGCTTCTGGCTCAAGGTGGTGGGCTACATAGATGTATTTAATCTCCTCTTCCTCTTCAAAAAACTATATCACTAAAATGATTTTAAAACACACACTCTCACAAAGAAGACAGCTTATAAAGGTGTGAAAAGAAACTCCTCTTGGTTTTACTCCCCAATCCAACTCTGGGTCTTGCTTCCATTTCTCCAAGTGGAAGAATGAGAAGGGATGAGACAGGAGGATGGGAAAAGGAGATTTTTTCCCCCCTTTTTATTTCACATATTCTGTACCATTTGAAAATGTTCATTCGTATGTGTGTATTTTGGTAACTTTAAAAGTTATTGAAGAATATATATAAATACGTTAATATAATAGCATCACATCATTTTGCCCTTAGTTTCAGTAAGATACACCTAAACTTGGTAAGGGCAGAAGGCAAAAAAGAAAAAAATAAGAGAAGAGAAGAGAGAAGGCAAAGAGCAAAAGAGTACATTTTTTTTCTTTTTTTAATTAAAATAAAATATATTTTATTGATTCTTTACAGAAAGGAATGGAGAAGGATAGAGAGCTAGAAACATCGATCAGCTGCCTTGTACACCCCCTACTGGGGATGTGCCCACAACCAATATACATGCCCTTGACCCGAATCAAACCTAGGACTTTTCAGTCCGCATACCTACGCTCTATCCACTGAGCCAAACCAGTTTTGGCAAGAGAGTACATTTTAAATGGAGTGCTGATTTCTGCCTCACTGTCCTTTCCACCAGCTTGAACTTTACCCAAAGTATATCTGAAAGAGGAGATGTGAATGCGACCTGTTCGGGTCCCACGAGTTTTTCATACTTGAAGAGTCTGGTCACGCAGTGTGTGATTCTAATGTTAACAAATCCTTTTATTTGTGTTTGTTTACATTTAAATAACATGGCTTTTTAACGCAACTACTTCATTAGGTGCTCGATTGTGGAAGCAACAGTTTTATTCCAACACAGTGATTTAAGATACTTTCAAGGATAATTCTCATTCCTCCCTTCCTAATTTAAACATTAATTCCCAAAACTATGAAAAACTAGTGCAGATATTAGTAATCAGCGGTAGTACTAAGGTATGTTTTATTTTCTCCCCCTCTCTCTTTAGTCGTATTTTCTATTTGAATAATGAGGAAGTGTTCCTTTTGTATTATAGAAAACTATATTTTAAAATTTAACCATAGCCATATCTCTCATTCCACCTTCACTTGGTCTGTGGGCACCCAGTGGCTCATTTTCTTTTCCAAATGCAACAAGACTTCATGACTCAACTCTGTTTTTAGACTCCAGCTGCCCCAAATAGAGCACTTTGTAAAAATATCAGCCCAGCCAGCAGCCAGCATGGCTCAGTGTTGAGTGTTGACCTATGAACCAAAAGGTCACAGTTTGATTCCCGGTCAGGATGCATCCCCAGGTTGTGAACCCCAGTTCATTTTTAAAACAAATAATATCACAATACCATAGTTTTGTATCTTACAAAACTTACCCAATCCCAACCAGAGGGAAAAAGGTGATGGGGAAGTAGAAGAGGTTATAGGGGGATAAAACGTAATGGAAGGAGACTTAACTTGTGAACACACAATACAATATACAGATAATATATTACAGAATTGTATAATGTATTATAGAATTGTATTGATGTATTATAGAACCTATAGAATTTTATTAACCAAAGTCACCCCAATAAATTCAATTGAAAAGTTAAAGTAAATAAGTAAAGTTCTTCTGGGTCAAAAGGAAATCAAAACTAAAATAGAATATCTCTAAAGTAGCAATAACAAAAATACTAAAACTGTAGGGAAATAAAAATTTATTTGCAAACAAAGGTATACCTTTAAACACTTTAACTACTAAAATAGGAAGAAATTAATATGAAGTAGTTATGCATTCAAAGAAAAAGTTAGAAAAGGAAAAAGCAAAATAAATTAACCTGGAAGAATTTAAAAAAAAAAGTTAGTAAACAAATTAAAATCATAAAATTGATACAGCAAAAAAATAAGTAAAGCTTTTTCAAAGTTGTAAGGGAAAAACACACCTCATCAAATTCCAATTTGTGTCAGGTGGCACTAATAACTAGCCCAATTGTTTTTCTTTTTCCTTGTATAAAATGTTTTTTAATTTTTTAAGAAACTCAAATTTATATTCATCAGTAAAAAAAATAAATATTTTTAGAATTTGAATTATACTTGGAAAATGACATTTGTAGCAGAAACATTAAGTACACTGCTACTTTATTATATAAATTTTCAAAGTGATTCAGAAAACTGAAGATAACATAGAAAAGAAATTCTCTGATGAATTATCCACGTTCCTTTCTTTTATTGTCTGCTCTCCTTTAATTGTTAGTTACAAAATCTCATTTTTGGCTCATCTCAGAGGCTCTCAAAGACGAAAATCTAAGTCTCTTCACAGTCTGTTCCTGTTTTTTTCTTTGGCCTCCTTCCGTCTCTTAGCCAAAAGTTTAGCATATTCTGCGTCCTCTTCCTTGTTTTTCTTAGTACGTTGTTTCTTCAGACTGTAGGGGTGTCGAACTCAATCAGAGAAGGGGCCAAAATCTAAAATCCAGCCTAAATCTCGGGCCGAATGGTTTACTGAACAGTCATAAACTGTCATTGTGATGGAAACGCAGTGGATTTCAGTGATGACAGCGCGGTGCGGGCCACATTGCAAGGCCTGGTGGGACGGATTTGGCCCGCAGGCCTTGTGTTTGACACATGTGCTTCAGAGCAATAAGTCTGCGTTTGTGTCACAGGACATGTAGGGTAACAAGACTCTGAATCTTGGGTGCTTTAGTACTAGTTTCCTACCTTCTTTGTTTAGACTCTAAACTTTAGAGGCTTCTTCACAATGTATTTGTGGACATCATCTCCTTTAGAGACAGAAAAGTCCGAGGATTCTGCTGGCTCTTTTGGGCCCCAGGCGATGAGGCACAGTGGTGTTAGTGAGACCAGGAATAGCTTCCTCCCTCGTTTTCTACAATGACCAAATTGAGAACACTGAGATTGGCATCCACAATGTGCCACCCCGAACATATTTGCATTTTCTCTCTCCAGTCCTCCTCTGTCTGTAACAGGCGTGCCCCTTACTCAGCACCAGGTGGACTCGGCCGTGGGTCAAGACACCCTGCTTCATGGGGAAACCTTGTTTGTTGTTCCCACCACTGACTCACTTCTCATAAAAGGTACAAAGTTTGCGTTCATCGTCCACTTCAATGCATTTCTGGAACCCGTGGCTTTAAAGAAATGTTGAGCTTCATCCTGAAGCAGCTGAGGCACCACGAAAAATAGCTTATCCACATTTCTGACTGCAAACCTGAAGGATGAGGATTGGGCTGTCCCCAAAGAATAATTTTGAAATCCTGAAAGGACAAGCAAGCAGCCATTTATCTCTGGCCTGTAGGATAAGCAAATCCTTTAGCAACTTTAGAAGTTAGAGAGTAAGATGCAGCTGAACGCTGCCTGGGGTCCAATCCTATGGAAATCTGTCCCAGGTGGTCACCTGACCAAGTTTTAGGGTTAATGGTTCTGATCTGGAGAGAGTGACACGCCAAGACTGCATGTGCTCTATGGAGGATGGGTGCATGGATAGATACCTCATTACAAGAGATACAGCTTTTAATATCTTACTATGTGATGAAGGATAATTTAGTTTCCTGGGCTCCTTTATTTTTATAGATTTAAAATGGGAATCCTACTCTTCGTTTATTTTGCAAATTAAATGAGAGATTCCCTGTGGTTGTATAATGCTGGTGAACGTTCTAAAGTATAAGAATAAGCTTTAAAATATTTATTAAGGAAAAAAAGGATAAAACATGCTATGTACAGCAGAGTAGTTGGGCCTTTAAGTGTGGGAAGCAGACAAACAGTTCTCGATAAGCCCAAGTGGGAAGCCTGGGAAAATCATGTTCCCCTTTAGCATTTTGCACCTTGTTTACGAGTTAAATTAATGCCTTGGCAACAAGAATTGCATTTTTCTTGCATGGAATCCATCTCTAAGAAAACACACACCTGGCGGCTGTCAACAGCAATTTGCTAGCCAAACTAGAGTGAGCCCACTGACAGGGTTGGCGTGGATCAGCCTTAATCCTTCCTCAGGGCGCTGAAAAGCAAAGGGCAAAGAGGAGTACCTATCGGGGATGTTCAAGTTAATCCCATTCTGCCTGACCATTCACCGGAGCCCGGCACCACCGCCGCCTCCCCTGTCATCTGAAATTAGGACTGCTGAACCATATTTGGGGAAACCTCAAACAGCTACAAGTCAGATATAAGTTCTGAAAATCTTGAGACAAAGATCTGTTTTCTTAGCTCCACTAAGATGCCTGACAACACCTCAACCTGGGTCTCTTTGTTCATCACCTCTAAGATCTTGGACATGCTGCTAAAACACTTATCCAATACCCAACTGCATCCCCAAACTTACCATAACTTTTCTGGGATATTCTTTCCATTGCACCATTTTACCCAGAACTTTTAGGTATCTAATATTTCCTTCCAGACTATGCTCAGCAACTCTAATTCATTCTAACAATTATTCCCATCCTCACCCTCACTAGCCTGCTGAGTTTGGCCTAACCTAGATCTTAATACCACCCTCACACACTCCACCCTACCCCACCATTCATCATTGGGACAGGGCCCTCTAGCAGAAAGCCAAAGTGTAACCTCAACTAGTCTGGCCTTTCTTTTTTGGCTCTTGATTACATATGATAGATCTTGGACATGTCCCTTAGAGTCTACAATGTTTAATAATAAAATAGATTGTGACAGTGTACTTTCTGCTCCTATTTTTTTTTGTTTGTTTATTTGTTTGTTTTGTTTCTGTTGTTGATATTCTCTTGTTGTGGTTATTTATTTAACATAATATTTTCAAGGTTTTTCTGTATTTTAGCATATGTCAGAATTCTATTTCTTTTTTTTCTTCCTGGTTTTTAATTCCTCCTTGTTTCCCTGAGAAGGGCACTGATAGGGAGGTACCAAATTGATCTGGAAAGGATGAACTAGGTGTGCTTAGATCATGGAGCTTGACCTCAATGGGTAGGAATTGGAATCCTTACCTATCAGTCCAACCATGATGTCTAATTTTAAGCTTTAAATATTTAAAATAAGAACTGCTATAAAAGACCGAACTTCTTGTGAAAATGAAATCAAATGAAGTAAAATAAATGAAACCACTTTGCCAGCTATAAACTACTTAAAACAAATAAACCATGTCAATAATCATTGTAGTGATTCTCTGCTAAGGCAAACAACCAAGACCTTGAGTGGAAAAGTTAGTGCATCTCCCATCTCATGCCTTCTTCCTGGTTCCACCCCAATGCTCACTGTCTTCTATCAGATCCAAGTCCCAATGCTCACTGTCTTCTATCAGATCCAAATCTCCCACTCCTTTTCCCTCCCCTGATTATTTCCTCACATCCTTCAGCACCAGTGGAAACTTCTCAACTAGTTCTTGATCTCATTATCAGATTATAGATTTCACGATAAGGCATGAATGAGGATTAATCCTTCTGGAATATATTTACATTTTAAAATGGTGTGTTAATTAGAAGAATTTTCTGTAGAGAAAAATGGGAGCTTATTTTTCAGACTTTAAGGTAATATCTATGATAGTCAGCAGAATGTATTCATATTTTCACCAAAATATATGTACAGAAATATTCATAAGCACAATATTTATAACAGCCCAAAACCAGAAACAATCAAAATGCCCATCAACAGTAGAACAGATAGGTGCACAGTTTATGTTCAGTCTCTTCCCACAACCCCCTCTTCCCTTTTTCCCAAGAATCGTCAGTTCACTCCCCTTCCATACTTCTGATTCTATTATATTCAACAGTTAATATTGTTCATCAGATTTTTTTAAATTTCCTTGGTTTTTAGATTCACTTGTTGATAATTACGTATTTGTTGTTCATAATTTTTATCTTTATTTACTTTCTCTTCCGAAAGAACCCCCTTCAGCAATTCATATAATTCTGGTTTGGTGGTGATGAACTCCTTTAGCTTTTTTTTATTAGTGAAGCTCTTTATCTGACCTTCGATTCTGAGTGATATGTTTGCTGGATAGATTATCTTTGGCTGTAGCTTCTTACTATTCATCACCTTGAATATTTCTTGCCATTCCCGTCTGGCCTGCATGGTTTCTGTTGAGAAATCAGCTGACAATCATATAGATAAATTATAATCTATTCACATAATGGAATACTACACAGCAATGAGAATGAACTAAAACTTTATGCAACAACATGGATAAATCTCACAAACATCATGATGAATAAAGGAATCCAGGAGCAAATGAGTATACACCATAAGATTCCATGAATAGAAAATACAGTATAAATCAGAAGAAAAAAAAAGAATCTTTGATGTTAGAAATCAGGATAGTGTTTACCTATTTGGTGGGGAGGTGATAGTGACTAGGAAGGAAGCACAGGGACAACTTCTGGGTTGGTAATAATGTGTTCCATGATCTGAAGACTGGTTACCTAGGTGTATTGATTCTGTGAAAATTCACTGAGCTATAAACCTATGTGTGCATGCATGATTTACCTAAATTAAAACATGCATTTTTAATTTAGTATGCATACATGTTATATTTAAGTTTAAGTATGTATGCATATTGTACTTAAATTAATAGTTTACTTAAAAATTAGCAGCACAGCCCTGGCCTGTGTGGTACAATAGGTTGATCACTGTTCCATGCACCAAAAGATTGCTGGTTCAATTCCAGATCAGGGCACATGCCTGGGTTGCAGACTTGATCCCTAGCAGGAGGCATGCAGAAGGCAGCTGATCTACGTTCAACTCTCATATCAATGTTTGCTTTTCTTTCACCCTCTCCCTTTCTCTCTCTCAAAAAAAAGCAATGAAAAAGTTAGCCGTTCAAACGAATTTACTGTAGAAAATTCAGAATATAGGAAATATAAAGTATTAAAGGAAAACTTTCAAAAAGGGTAAAATTATGACTCATTTAAATAGCAAATGAAAACATATCAAAGATTTTTTTAACTCATTAATTAATGAGGGAACCAGTAAGATGTTATAGCCAGTTCAAATGGATTTGATTTATGGAGATTTATATTATCTACCAGACAAAATTCATGTATATGTGTAATAGGAATCATTTATATAGCTATGGACAGGAAACTGTCCATTACTATCCATTTTCTGTTTATTTTGTTTTATTTATTTTTAATACATTTTTATTGATTTCAGAGAGAAAAGGAGAGGAAGAGAAAGATAGAAACACAAATGATGAGAGAATTATTGATTGGCTGCTTCCTGCATGCCCCCTAATAAGAATCTAGTCCCTAACCCAGGCAAGTGCCCTTGACTGGAATTCAGCCCGAGACCCTTTAGTCAGCAGGCCAACTCTCTATTCACTGAGCAAACCGGCTAGGGCTATTCATTTTCTATATGTTAACTTTTTTCCTACGAGGTTGTAAAATAGTCTAATCAAAAACAGTGAAAGGGCCGGGACCGGTTTGACTCAGTGGATAGAGCGTCGGGCTGTGGACTGAAAGGTCCTGGGTTCCATTCCGGGCAAGGGCATGTACCTTGGCTACGGGCACATCCCCACTGGGGGGTGTGCAAGAGGCAGCTGATCGATGATTCTCTCTCATCGATGTTTCTAGTTCTCTATCCCTCTCTCTTCCTCTCTGTGAAAAATCAATAAAATATATTAAAAAAAAAAAAAAAAAAAAAAAAAAACAGTGAAAGGAGAAATACCAGAATGGATAAACTAAATTTTATCCTCTGAATTTCAAAGACTTTCTTATGCTAGAATAAAATCAAAACAACCCATAATCCTTTTATTTAGGCATCACCTACATATACACATTTGTGCCATATTTTTAATAGCATGTGAGAATTGTCTCATCTCTATAGAAAAAAAAAGTTTATTGTTTTCTTCTCTATAGATGCTCATTGAAAGCAAAATACTCAACTGTTTCCATATTGAGTACAGATTTTTCTTTTTGTTCCAGAAAGCATTTGTTCACGTTTCTAATTATTTCCTTAGCATACTTTCTTAGAAGGGAAAGTAATGGACCAAAATATATGACTATTCTAAGACTTAATACATATTGTCAAATATGATCAGAATTACTTTGGAGTATATAGTGGAGTTTGTTGAAGAGAGAAACAACTTTTGTAGACCACTTACATACTCAGATATTACTCCTGTGCACCAGACTTCAGGAGTAAAATGTGTGTTTACAGTCTTGCACGTACCCCCTATTGCCAACTTCTCCTTTACTTTTGGACTTCACCAGGATTGAATAAAAACTCAGTCACTGAATAAGAAAAAAGTGTGGGTTGGCACAACACATTACAAAACCCCAAGCTCAAACACAAACCCAAGTCTAGAAGAGGTCTTCCTACACTGTTGGCTTCATCTGTAATCCTTGAGGGATTTTCCAAAACAGAACTCAAATGTCTTCCTCCATAGATTTCCTGTGTTCACACATATTTTCTGATCTGTTTTGCCTGTCTGGATTCTAAATTCTATAAGCTACATGTATCCAACCAAGACCCCAATTATTCAATAGTGTTTATCAATTGCCTACTAAGTTCTAGGCATTGTGATATGCTTTTGCTCTTGGAGTTCAAAAAGTATGGTTACCATATAATATATAAAATATACTATATATTTTGAATGAGCATTATAATGTCAACTTATTTATTGTTTCATTGCATTTGCTGATTGTTTTCAGGAGGTAGGTCTTCTCTTTTCACCAGATAAGATGCCCCTCCAAGGCAAGGCATTAGTTATATCGTCACTTCTCTGATATCTTCCAAATTACTATGCCCGTAATAAGTGCCCAGTAAAGAGCAACTGAATTGAAAACATTAGCGCCTCATGTCTGCATGGACCAAGCAAACTATTCATTCCAGCTCCTCAAATGACTCTTAGAATCTCTGTGGGAATAAATAACAAATGATTGGGAGACATGAAGTAACTTATTACATAAGTGATCATTTTATATCTTCACCAATAGGTGGCACTATCAATTTTGAAATTATATTTTTTATATTGTTATAGCCCAAATATCTAAGTATGGAGTTCATTCAATAAATATTTATTGGGCACCTTCTATGTGAATGCTGCTCAATCAGCCACTACTAATAATAAAAATTAAAATTATACAGATATGCTTTATCATATTTCCTCTTCCAGTAATGCCTTAAAGGACATTCTACTTTTATCCTTGTTTTATAAAATAACATCTAAGTCTTGGGTAACTACTCAAAAACAATAGTTTTGCAAGTGTGTGTGTGTGTGTGTGTGTGTGTGTGTGTGTGTGTTCCTACCACTGGATGAAAAAAGGGGCCTATATGCTAACCTGACAAGCTCAGGGAAGGCCTGCATGGCAGTCTTGCAGACTCAAAGACCTAAAGTACCACAAAGGATGAGCTGAAATCAAAAATTTAATTAAAAGCAGTTCATAGTGGGTAGTTGTGTCCTAGGCCAGTATCTTCCTTGACAAAGGTCACTCTTTACTTTAACAGCCTATTGTTTTTTTGCATCTAAGATAACATACCTGTGAAATGTCAGTATAACTTGTAACTTTCCTTTTTCCTGATCTCTCATGGCACAACCAAATGCACCATAAATTCCTTCATTGTTATTGTTAAGAGTCTCATGCTCTACAGACTGAGCTAGCCGGGCACTTCCATCCTTCATTGTTATTGTTATCATGTTAATTGTTGACTGTTAATTCTACTATACCCCCTTACGTAAAAGAAGTATGTGTCTAGCCTTTTGCTATTTATCCAATCCCAGAGGTATCCCCAATTTTCTTTCTCCCACCTCCCTAACCTATCACCAGTGGATTTCATGTAACCCATTTACGCATCCTTTGGTTGTAATGTAGAAAACCGTGTGTGACACTCATTAAAATGTCATTCTCTGGCCAAAACCAGTTTGGCTCAGTGGATAGAGCTTCGGCCTGTGGACTGAAGGGTCCCAGTAAAGGCCATGTACCTTGGTTTTGGGCACATCCCCAGTGGGGGGGTGCAGGAGGCAGCTGATCAATGTTTCTCTCTCATCGATGTTTCTGGCTTTCTGTCCCCCTCCCTTCCTCTCTGTAAAAAAACAATAATATATACCAGTATATAATATATATATAATTTTTATTTTATTTATTTATTTATTTTAAATGTCACTCTCTGGAGCATTATCCCAATACTCTTGAGATTGGGATAATGCTCCCGGGATTCTGCTCGAGATTCTGTTTTCTGGCAATTGTCGACAATTTGGCTTAAATAAACTCACACACACACACACACACACACACACACAAAAAATTTTTTTTAGATGTTTGAATGTTTTTTTTTATGTTAACACTACCCAACCTATTATATTATCTTATTTTAAAGGGGAGGAGGGAAAACAAAGTTAAATAAAAAGCAAATCGGAAAAATCTGGATCTGGAAAGGTTTAATCTTCAGAATTTAGTCCAAGTTGGCTTTTTAATTAACACAAGGTACCACTTCAAAGTGAGAAGATCTTTCTTTTCCTTTGGAAGATAACAGATGTGTGATCCAGGCATACCAGAATTGTTTCTACATCTTCCAAGGCTGCTCTGTCCATCTGGAGATGATAAAGGTCCATTCCCCTGTGTTTATTTCAAAAGGTTTGTTCTCTGTATGACCTGATGTTAAAAATGCAGAGCATTAGTCAGCTGAAGAAGGCTGCTGCCTGAATGCTACTCAGGAAGCCTCTACTCCCTAGAAGACCCCTTCCAAACTCTCCTTAGAGTAGAAAGAGGCCCTTCGGCCCTTCCTGATAACTATTGCCTTCATCACAGGCTGAGGGGAAAACAGGCAAAAAAGATAGAAACAGGGAAGGGGAGCAGTAGGGAAAAGGAACCACAGTATTTGCATCAAACACCATAGAATAGTCATGAATTTACCCACCAAATCTGTACCTCTTTTTACTGAGATTCTTTAAAGTGTCATGAATGGCATTATGTACTTTGTGACGTGCAAGGATGGAGCATACAAGGATTTTTGCTATCCAGGAGCTCCTTGTCTATTGTCTTGTGTAGTCGTGGTTACGAAGTGTAAGCTCTGTTCGTTTGAACCCTGGCCTGACCGCTTAAGCATTCTTGGATAAATTATTTAACCTCTCCATGTCTTAGTTTTCTAATCTACAAAATGGGGATAATAGTAGCTACCTTATGGAGATATTAGGAGGATTAAATGAAGAGCATTAACATTTTAACAAAGGATGCCTATTGTTATTTTTTTTTTAAATCTAATACACAAAGGAAATGTTTGGTATTGTAGGAGAGGTCTAGATAAAAAGCTATGAAAACTCGCCGAAACCGGTTTGGCTCAGTGGTAGAGCGACGGACTGAAGGGTCCCAGGTTCGATTCTGGTCAAGGGCATGTACAGTGGCTGCGGGCACATCCCTGATAGGGGGTATGCAGGAGGCAGCTGGTCGATGTTTCTAGCTCTCTATCCCTCTCCTTTCCTCTCTGTAAAATATCAATTAAAAATAAACAAACAAACAAACAAACAAATAAATAAATAAATAAAGCTATGAAAACTCAAAGGCTGGAGCAATGACTTCCAATTATGGGGGCAGGGCAGGGCAGAGCATTCATTGCTGGCTTTATGAAAATGGCTTGGCAATTGAGTTTTGAAGAATAAGTAGTATTTGAAAGTGGAGAGCTGGGAGAACAGAGGTTACTCCGGGAAGATGGACTGTACACAATGGTGATGGAAAAGGAGGTGAGAAGGTGTGGAGTGTTTGCAGCAGAGATAATGATTCGGTTTAGCTGGTGCGAAGGGCACATGAAGGGAAATGAATGTTTGAAAATTTTACTGTAACAATAGGTGCAAGTTATGTGCAATGGAATTTGGAAACAATGGAATTTGGAAGCCACGGGAGGTTTCTGAGCGGGAAAGTGGCATGCTTACAACCATGCTTTCATAACTGAGTTGGCAACCATGTGTGACACTGATTAAAAGAAGAGAGCTGGCTATGATGTCAATAACTGCCATTTGCTGAGTGCTAACATACTAACTCATTTATATGGCGAGAATAATAAAGGCAAAGGTGGTGAGCACTGAGAGATAAAAGAGATAAGAGATACTGGGTGGTTAGAACTTACTGATATTGATATGTATCGCATGCAGAAGACAAGACAAAGGGAGGAATCTCTGGCTTGGGGGAGTGAAAAGATAAAAGTAAGGATCTAGCCCTATCCCATTTGGATCAGAGTGCTGGCCTGCAGACTAAAGGGTCCCAGGTTCAAGTCTGGTCAAGGGCACATGCCCAGGTTTCAAAGGCAGCTGATCAATGATGATCTCTTATCATTGATGTTTCTATGCCTCTCTCCCTCTCCCTTCATCTCAGAAATCAATAAAAATATTTTTAAAAAATAAATAAATGAAATGAATGAATGAACAAATAAATGTAAGGATCTATTTAGCAAGCCTGGAGGAGAGGGAGAAATTCAGTGAGTTCATTTGTTGAGTTTAGAGCAGCAAGGCACCAGGCAGTGTTGTCCAGGAGGCAGCTGAAGTGGGACCTTGAGAGACAAGAGCATTCTGAACATTAGGAAATGGAGGAGGTGCTCCTGCCCTCAAATGGGTCTGAGTTTGGGATGACTATATGGGATGATTTATACAGATTTAATTACACCTCTAGTTTTAGAACGTTGTTTTCTTAATCATTGGGAACTGACTTGGATATGTGAGTTAGGTGCTTTGCTAAAGCTCCAGTGTTTATGGACCCAGTCCTCTGCAGAAGCCTGGTGTACTAATCTGCTTGGAAGTGGAAGTCAAGGGGAGTTTTCCTAAAGCCATGTTTTATGGCAAGCCTATCGTGTTTACGTGGTGAATTATTATTTGGGGTGACCTGGGTTTAGAAGAGCGGATGAATGTGAGGCCAGACCTCCAACCAATGCTTGGACTAGCTTATCCTTTCATGTTGCTGACCTTTCGAGATCTACTGTAACTATATTAACCCAAATGTGTTAGTTGTAAATGGAACTAAGACCACATGATTTCCATGTCCTCAGACTCACTTGCTGGCTCCACGCACATCTAGATTGAGGGCAGTATGAGAGTTAACTCTTCTAGAACAGTGGGGCAAGCATTTTCGGGCAGCTTATAGCAGCTTAACACAGGCCTTTGCTGCCCTTGGAAGACTGGATAAGAAACTGCACACAACACAACACACAACCTGTTACAGCATAGATTTTACAACAACTCACAGAAACAACAAGATGTATCAATACATTTAATTAAGTACAGCAGAATGGTTGCCTCTAGAGCAATGGTTCCCAACCTTTTTTTGACCATGCCCCACCTAAGCATCTCTAAAATCCTGATGCCCCCCTGTGACATATAATTCTTTTTATTCAAAAAGTGAACTCCTATTCATGTGGAGGAAGCCTAAAAGGCCACTAATTTGGTCTAAACAAGCTCCCAAAGAACATGGCATCCATGAAAGAGAAAAGTAAAAGAACAAAAGGACAGTTGAAGTACTGAGAAAGAAATTACTAAGAAATTATTTTAAAATAATAATATGAAGTAATATGAAAAATAGCAAATAAAGTTTAAAACATAAAATAGAGAACTGAAATGCATAAATATGTCACCATATATATTTATATACTGTATATGAGGCCCCTAGAACCATAAAAAATGCAAAAAAAAATCTCTGTTAATAACTCATTCTAAAATTGCCCCCTGTTAAAAATCAAATTGCAGCCCTGTGGGGGAGGGGA